AACGCCATGCATTAATTCAGCCAAAAAAGGATGTAATTCTGGAACTTCTCGAGTGTAAATAGGCTGTTTCAGGCATGCCGAGATCTAAGGGCATCCCGAGGATGTACTTTGCAAATAACATCTTGCTTTTCCTGTCCTTGTGCATGATTCCGCCCTACTTGTGGAAAATATTATGAGTTGATTTTGCAGCTCATGGTTTTCTTCCTACAGAGGCAATTCCTCTACTCTTAACAGCATGAGAATGTAAGGCGCTAACAAGATGGAATTTGCTTAAGTTTCTTGCAAGAATAATATAACTTACACTTTGGAAATGGTTGCCAGACCAGAAAGCTTTGGCTAAAACTCATTAACACGAGCAAATTTATGTCCTTCGGCAGACATTCCAAAAGCAATACAAAAGCATGAATGGTCCTACCAATCAGATTTTTCTTTAACAGATAAAATTAAGCATGAAGGGTCCTACCATTCAGTTTTTTCTTTTTTTTCCTTCTTTTGAAGAGAAAATTTCTTGAAGAGAGCTGTGAGAGATTGAACTTATGGGAAATACTGTTCTTCCATGTCTTCCTAGGCCTTCCCAACAATTTTAAAGAGAAACATATCGTGCAACGATACGGTGACCAAATTATGCTCATTGAGATTGGCTATCACTTCTTTTAAATGTATACGTTCTCTCTATCATATAACTTCCTCAGATTTGAGTCTATTGAGCGGCTAGCTAAAGTAAAGGAAATAAGTTCTGAGCATTCGGGAGCTAAAAAACACAAATCCGTTAGTCAGAAATCATGTAGGTTTATATTGCATAGCAACTTGAAATCATGCTGTTATCAAGCTTTAGTAAATTGCAATTCATGAACATTTGCTGCTTAAAGTTCTTGCTTTATCAATTCACCTTACCAAGTTAAATAGCCATTCCCCACAACATTCTTATTCCTCAGTGTCTTATGTGTTAGGTAATTAGTTACTTATTTAGCGCATCCTTATGCGAGATCTTACCATCACCTCCCAAGAATCTGAAACAAACATCTCCAATGAATCCACTTGTGTTGATTCACCAAATTACCTATAGCATCATCAATTACTGTAAGAAAACTAAGTACAAACCAAGTTAGCTCAACCTCTGTCACAGAACATTTTGACACAATGAAGCTTTTGATTGCAGTTCAATCATTAAACTTCTCCTCTCCAATCAAATTGAGGTTTCATGGGATTACAGAAACCCTAACACACTCAACATCCCATCCTTCGTTCAAGTTAGTTTCTGTGTAATCAGGAAGTTTTACTCAGTTAATGTTAATAGGTTGTCCACCTAAGTACGGGCATCAAACAAGGTCCCAACCCACACGAATCTACTTCTCGCATTCAATGAACTAATCTCCAGCAAAAGAGTCTATGTTTTTTGGGCATGTAGAGGTGATAAGTAACCCTAACTTCATCATCTTACAGTAGAGAATTATTAGGTTTCACCAACTTGAGAAAGGGGATCCGACCTTAACGGGCGAAGAGGTTGAGCAATAGAGAGCCCTGATCTCGTCTGGTCGTACCAATGTTGGCTCGATCTCCGGTCCCTCCTCCTACCATGTACGGAGGACTCCTGACTGAGGATTCCTTGAGAGATTCCAGAGGTCGGGAGTGGCGGATCGTCATCTCTATTTCCGGCGACATTTCGGGAAATATATCGTGCGATAAGGAGATCGCCGGAGGTATTCACGCCAGGCGAACGCAGGGGCGTTCTGGGCAACAAGCGCATAAAACTTGCGGCTGTTTTGCAAATACAACCCTATAAAGAATATTATTTTTACCCCCAACAAAGGATGCAGAGACCGACGTTGCGATATTTTACATTTGGATCCCTCTGAAGTATAAAATTATGTTTATCCTCTCTTGAATCACTAACCAATGCACAAACGCTGCAATTATTTTACAGATGTCACCCATTGGAGTGTGAAAATTATTTATATATCCTCTTTGATCAGTTTGAAATTCCGATATTTATACCAATAAGAATTATTTTTAATTAATATAATTAATATTAATTATATTACTTAATTGCTTATAGGGAATGAATGAAGTGGTGAGGTCATTTAGGTCATACTGTGATGTCATAATTAGATTTCCAATAAGGTACAATTAATTACTCCATTTATACATTCTTACAACAGGAGACAGCATGTATCAAATACTATTATACTAAGATAAAAAGATTTCTATGATCACATCATTTTGAAAAGTATAATTATATTTGCTAGCTTAGCTTGACCATCAATGAGTGAAAACTATAACACCAATAAAATAAACTTTCCATTATTCCCCATCTTTACTAGTATATATTAATAAAAAATAAATGCTACATTAATGCAATTGAATTTTATTTATCGAAGAATCAAATCGATCGATTTTAATAATACATTCATACTCTCATAATTAGAAAAATTAAATTATCCATGATGTAATATCAAAAATATAATTATGCCCCAAGTAAATCTCAATCAAAGCACAAATCTCTTATATAATTTTTTTTAAAATATATATATTTTTAATTGGTGGATAATCATCTTCCATCCTCCCATCGAAATTTAGAGATAAAGATATTTATCAAATAACCAAACATTAAAATTTAATACATTATTGTTCAAAGATTTTTATATATTATTTTTTAAATATTAATATTAAAAAAATACTTATCGATCTCAATAAAAATAATATAATAAATTGGAATCCATGTCTTCTCATGTCCGATCGCCACTTCCTCCCCAACTCACATCACTCTCTTCCCCTTCTCCTCGAAGTGGCTTGTGAGTTTCCCGTCCTCTTCCCCTTTTACAAAGAAAGCCAACAGAAGACGCACAATCTCAGTCGACCACCAAAACAAAAATATATTCCCAAAACGCTCCTCACTCCCTCCGTCGCTCCCCCGCTTCTCCTTTTCGCCCGCCGGAAGGCCGATCCCGGCCCATGGTAGCGGCGCCAGCGCATCCTGAGGGGCTCCGGGGGATAGAATCGGGGTCGCGGTTCTCGGAACTCCTCGTGATCTCTTTTTCTTGATCGGGTTTTTCGAGGGCGGCGGGATAGGAATTAGGGTTATCGGTGACCGGATTTCGAATCGGGAATGATCTGAGTTAGGGTTCGTGGATCCGTTTATTGGGTTGTTTCGGGTCGCTGGTTTTGGGGTTCTTGACGCGGTCGGCCATGTCGGATGACATAGTCATGCAACTGTCTTCCAGTTCGAGCCCCTCCGATCCGTCCCTTCCGACGAAGCTGGCTAAGTTGGAGGCTCGCATGGCCGGAAAGAGCTCTTCCTCTCTCACAATTCAGTCGGCGTGGCAGCCTGCTCCCCCACCTCCGATTAAATTCGTGGAACAAGAGGAGTTGCCCGACTCCTCATCCTCTGATGATGACGTTAGCCCTCGCCCCGTACTGCTTTTAAGAACATTTATTTGAAGCTGCAAGTTATGGATTTTCTTGAAACATGGATGATCATCCTTTCTTTAGGGGTCTGTCATTAAATTAATTGGCCATGATAATAGCTTCTGTTCATGAAATTGAATCCTTGTTTTTATAATATTATCTATCTATGTTTGTTTTTAAGTTGATAATTGTCTGTGCCTGCACTATATTTATGTTCCCTTGCATTAGTGGACGTCGGAACTTAGCAAAGCTGCTTTTCATTATATTATAGTTTTCCTGTACTGTTTTTAGGAAGTATCTTTAGCCTCTTATCTTTGTTTAGTTGTAATTCTTTTGGTTGATAATGTGTTTCTAGTGTTGTTTGTCATGAAATTACTTTGCTGTCTCAGCAGGTTTTATTCTTGAAGTTAATTTTCTTTTCTCTTACATGATCACTTCGTCTTTGTTTCTGGGTTGATAATTAGTTGCACCCATACTCTGTTTATGATTTTTGCAGTTAGTGCATGTTGGAAATTTGTAGGTGCTGCCTTTTGTTGGTTTCCAGTTATATTAGAAGCATGTTTGTGGTGATAACCCTTTTATTTTTTGCATATGTTTGGTGAACTAGATGAGTTTGTTGGACATTATGATGGTTTATAAATTTGCAGGTTTGTCATGATGTAGGCTTATAATATATGATATGAAGATTTCTTGGTTTTGTTGACATAATCAGTGTCTGTTGTTCATAATGTTCAGAATGGTGGTGAGTTTTTGATACAACACAACACTCAGAAGCGGCACAGACTTGAAGAGGATGACCATGATATGGATCTTGAGCAATCTAAGGTGATCTTGTTTTCTAATAATGGATTTGTGTGCAAATATGGGTTTTTGGCCAATAAGATGCCCCTTAGTTTTTCTGGTTCTTGCCAGCCATGAGTTTGGTAGGTGACAAGAGCTGCATGCTGATCTAATGTTCCACATTAATTTTAAGGCGCAAGATTAAAATGTTTACCATTTGCTTCATCTTCATAGTGTGTTCCTGAGGACATGATAATTAGCATCCTAGTCCCTATTGCACTTTGTACTCGTACTCGTTGCTACCAATCGTTGGAATTTCTATATGGACTACTTGTACTATCAACTGCATTTACTTGTTTTAGATATTGCTCTTAATATTTGCCTTGAGGTGATAATATGTCTGCCAATGACATATATTATCAATGTTACTTCATAAGTAATTGCTATTTTTTGTTTCTTTTAATGAAAGACAATATGTTCATATGTGTAAATCCAAGTTTAGCTTTGTTCTTGTTGTTATCCTAATCTAGTGTGTATAAAAAATAAACTTTATTAACTATCACACAGTAACATATGAGAATTATGTTTGGCAACACCTTGTGCTTGTTAACTGGACCATACTTTCCTCCAAGTATTGAATTTCAGTTTTCCCGTACAGCTATCATTTCCATTTTCCCAAGGTAGAAGCCAATCAGATGACTCTTGTCATGCTTGAGTCATGTTTTGAAGAGAACACCCCTAATAAAATTATCGTTATTGTTTTTGCACAAGCTCTGATGAATAAGTAGTGTCATTTTATTCCTCAGTTTCTGTCGACAGATATTATTTTACTTTAATATGCCAAGTTTCTTCTGTACGAATGATGCATCTTTTAGAGATAGATATCTACTGTTGCCCTTTTCCAAGTTTAATGCTTTATGTTTTGATTCTTTGGGTGCCTTTATTGGCAGCGTTGACAATTTATTTGGGCGTATTTGTCTAGTTTCAGTTTGTAGCTTATAGAAAAAGGTCTGAGTGATTTTAAGCAACAAAACTTCGTGCCTTGTGGACTTGTGGTAAGATTCAGTTGGAGCATCCTAAACCTCCACGGTGATCAATTACCTGATTCAGCTCTCAATTCCAGAGAGTCATTAAATGATCTTGAATTTCCAATATTAGTTTGTGCATAATATCAAGCTGCCAAGATGTCAGCTGCTTTATAAGTACTGCAAGAGCTAGTCAGACTGTGATTTTTTTCTGGGTAAGCAGTCACAATCCTAGCCCATTGTAGTAGTTGATGGTGACAACAATGTAATTATCATCTATAATTAGTGGCAGAAAGCAGTACTGTTAGATGAGGAAGTTGATTCTTTGCTCCGCCATACATGAGCTGTATCCTTTAGTTACCTTCCAGAGTCTAGTGCCTTTTTTCTTTCTCACCATATATATGACTTTTAAGATTTTGTTTGACATTTCTTGAGTCAATAAACCGACTGATCCTGTAACCACACAGAAGTTCTAAACAACATTAGTGCACACCTCTTACAAATGCTATTATTATAAAATTGTTGGCTTTGCTTAATGCCTTCTTACGTTTTCAGGCTTTCGGTTGCCTTAATTTTGTACTTTTGCAAAAACTTTTTTCTTCTTTAATCTGATGAAAGAATTTGCGCTTCATGGGGTGCACAATTGGCCAGCATCACATGGCTATATTTCTCCGAGGCCTCCGGGGCTTTTCATAAGAATCAGGCAATTAACTGTAAAAGAATGTGAAAGTATCATTGTTTCTTTGTCGGTTTGTCCCTAGTATAGTTGGGATCTACTAGTTCTGTCACTGTTTCTAGGTTAAAGTATCATTGTCCCCAACATCTTGTTGCTTTATCTTTTATATTTCTTGTTCATATAACACATTCTTAATGATGATGTTTGCTCAGGAGACAACAAATGGAAGCATTAAGACCTTGGAGAATTTTGAGATCAGACGAAATTTGGATGACCCAAATAAGAAAAAGCAAGGTCGTGGTAGAGGTCGTCCATCAACAGGCAGGGGTCGTGGTTCAAAGACATCTGATCAAATGCGATCAGTTTCAACCGCTTCAATTAATTCCTCAAATGGGCAGCTTGAGAACCCTCCAAACAAGGTTTTATTTTCTTGATTACTCAAAATTCTTTCTATTAAATTACCACCTCCTTTTGTCCATAAAATTTGGTTTATGTGCAATGTAATATTCGTGGTTTTTTTTTTATTGCATTTCCACTACTCAGAATCTGTTAGAAGCTACCCTGATACTTAAAGAATGGAAGGTTGATCATAACTATTGTTTTGTTAATGTTGTATTAAGTATCAATTAGTTTTTTACACTTGCCACCGCTTGAGAGGCTATATCTAGGGTAAATCACACAATACCCACATGTGGTTTGATTGTTTTTCATGATGCCTAACAGTGGAGTATAACTTTGCTCACATGTATCTTCCTTGTAGCACCAAGCTTCCACTGTTAGCATCTGAGGATTTGAGATTCTTTAGAAGACCAAAATAACCATGCATGTTGGTCCAAAATGATTTATTTGCATGAGTATTTTAGTCTTTGTACAATCACAGGGAGAATGGTCAACTCCTCAGTCTGAGACCTATTTTTCACATACATTATGTGCTCCTCTATGATTCCTATCACACTGCACCATCCCCATCCACTGCTTCTCCTGCCAGGGATCTCCTCTACTTCAGCTGTGTTTTTAACATGGATGAGCCATGCTGTTGTGTGATCACCATCCCATCGATAGCTTCCTGGAGGTTATCGCTGTTCTTGGGGTCATTAGGAATGACAAGGAGGTGGTGGTAGGGGTGATGATGAATTGAGTGACTACTTGGTGGAGGACATTGGCAAGTGTGAGGCACAACTGATGCTTAGTTTGGAGGATCTTATGATCCTGACTATTACTAATCATAGTTTGAAGCTATGATGATGCTTCTGCTGAAATTATGCAAGGCAAATCAGATTTGGCTTGGTTACAGTTTTGTATGTTCTAATTTCTGGTTGATTTGTGTGATGGTTTGGTTTGCAGAAAATTGTGTACACGTCTCAATGAAATGCAATTTGTTTGTATGATGGTTCGATTCCCAAACTGATCAGTGTGGAATAGACTGGACGAGAGGGAAGAAAGAGGGTTTTGGGGCTTTATTTATGTCACTTGACTCTAGCTGATGACCTCAAAACCTCGGGTGGGTAATGATGGATAGGGATGCTAAAGGGGAGACCACAGGTAAAGTGTTACTCTTTGAATCATAAATAGGCATGATGAGAACAGCCAACCAGTGGTGGGTATTGTGTAATTTCCTCTGAAAACAGAAATTCTTGGAGTTGTGGTCATATTGATTCCCCAACCTGGCATGATATGATGGTCTAAAATAATATAAAATAAGACCTTAAGACTTGTGGACAATAGCCCTTCCATGTAAAGGCCAGATAAATGCTGAATAACTTTGTTGCATCGAATTATGTTTTTTCTTCCACACTCTACCCTGAGCATATCATTTTGCAAGTGAAAAAAGTCAATTTTTAAGGATCATTTTACTAACAATTCTATGCTGATCTTCTTTTCCTCACTTTCATGCACTGGTGCTTTAGGATGATAAGTAATTTCATCTTTTGGCAGGAAAATTGGTCAAACATTCCACTTGGAAATGATGAGAGGGTTGCTTTACAGGTTTTTGACTCTTGTATTTGTTCTTTTCCCATGATAATATAACACAATCTTCTATGTTCTTTGCAATTATGCCTCAGTATCTATTTATCTTATTCAATTCCAGTGGATGATCTGCATGATTTACGTGCTTAACATGGTTAAGTGTTTCAATATCTGTTGTCAACTATGCATTGTGCACAATAGATGTACTCAGATTTTTAGTTATGTTGTGAGTTTGCCTTCATATGCTTGTCTTCACTATCTAGTTGCATTTATCTACCATTATGAGTATACTTGCCTATCACTCATATTTTATTATCCTCTTTGAGCATTACGGAACCAAATCATCTTAAGATGAAAAGGTTATAATTATATATTTGATGCTTAATGTTCGCATGTATGATGGTTATCTCTTCAATGGTCTAGTAGGGGCATTACATTGATTGAAGGGAGACTCCACTATAGCTTTTGAAGATAGACCTCCATTATCAAACTATTATGATAATTTTATAAGAAAAGTCAAACCATCTAGAAATAGTATATAACATGGGATTGGTATTTCAGGTTGATTTTATAAGCCTTTAAATTCTGGTTAATGGTATTAGCTGTAACAGATTAGACTCTTGTCAACCTACCTGCATGCTACATCTTTGGTGAATTGGTGCAAAGATATTCATATTGATGTAATAATTAATTTGGCGATGGTGCATTTCTTGTCTTTTCCTTTTCGTATTCTTAAATCTTAATTACAGTTTTTTATCCAATAAGCTTCTGTTAATTGAACAGGAGGAAATATCTGTGTTACATGGCAAAATTGCTACCTTGGAGGAAGAGTTAAACAGGTCACGTCAAGAAGCATCTGACTATCGTCATCTTTCCCACCAGTTGGAAAAGGTACAAACTATTTGATGTATTGGCTGTATACCCTGGATTTGTCATTTTTTAAGAGGGCATTAACTCTGCTGCAAATATCTTTAAACAGGAATTAAAAGAGCTCAGAGACCGTGATCAACAGTCGAAGACAAAGGTTTCATTATATCTGAACTTGTGTAATCCTGACATTGTTCCTTGTAGAAAAAAATGATACTATAGTATTAGTTGTCAATAATTTGATATGTGCACTAAACATCATAAATTTGGTGGCATGAAGCATAAAGTAAACAAACTCAGTTATAACCATGGTTTAAATTCTTACTTGATTTTTGGCTATGCCTGTCAAACATATATGTAAACCTTTGATTATGTCCTCTTTCTTAGTTAATAAGGTCTTGCTCGAATCAGAATTAAGATATGTTTTTAATGAATACAGATATTAGCTTTGCTATAAAGTATTAAATGCATTTTGCTCTTTTTGTTCAGGAATTTCTGCCTACAGTAACTTTTATGCTACTGAATGGACCAAATAACATGTAATTGCATTAGTGTCGGTCACATTGACCAGCATTTCCTGAATCTTAATTGGTCAGAAGGGTTTTTCCGATATACCAAATCATTAAGAATACAGGCTACAAGATCTACAGTACAAATACACTTATGGACTCAGCATAATGCATTAAGATCCACTATCTTTGATCTTCAAAATCAGGAAAAATCAGGACGGCCTTTAGGGAATGTCTTAAGTTATGGGGTCAATATACCTATATCCTTAAGCACAACTTGAGATCATCACGTGAATGTGTCATACTCAAGTGAACTAAGTTGATGATGGACAAGGTTACTGCAACTAGAAAGCAAAAACAGTTGTTCTAAAGATGTTGCAACTTACAACAATCACCTAAAATGTTTGCTAGTTAAGTCAGATTTAAATCAGCCAGTGATGGGAAAACTTTCTTGTTGTGTCTATTTATTGGTGTTTATGAAATAAACAAGACTGTTTGATTGAGTTACCAAAAGTACGCCAACTTAAATCCTGTTTCCAAATATGTTACTTAAGATATTGGTGGTATAAATGTGCTAAATGTGAAAGAAGGTGTCTTGTTTTGTGATTATACCATCCGTTTGTCGATGCCTAAGATATAAGGAAAGCTCACATGATTTGACTTGCCAATCTTATACTGGTAATAATGTGTTTCTAAACTATGTGCCTTAAGAAGACATTACTGCAATAATTGTCCTAACATGAGACAAGGAATTGTTTTTGACTATTCATTCTATAAAAGGATGATTATGGTGCATTAGTTGGCTATTCTATTCTGCTTCTTTGCTGTGAATAAGAACTAAGAATCAAATTACAAGTAATGCCATCAACTTTCTGATTTGTTTGAGGTCATTCAAGGGTTTAGTTTATTATGTATTTTGGAGTCATTTTCTGTCATCAGCTATACTAATTTTGATAAACAGAATTGTTTAACAAAGTGCCGTAAAGATTAAGTTTTAGAAGATGTGAAGCAATGACATTAGCATGTTTAGTTGTAAGAACTTTTTGGCCCATTGGACATCTGGTGTTTATTTGAAGTATGAAAAGGATCTACTAGGTTGTGAAAAACATTACTTTAGGAATCTGATAGTGTGACTTAAATACAGATCTAAAATACAAGGAAAGTGCTTGATAGCTATTTTAGATATATTCTTATGATTGTGAGAAGCAAGATTCGTCATACCATGATGTACCGCTCAGTATGGGCGGTACATACCGATCTGATAGGAGACTGGTACAGGTGGTACATCGGTACACCCTCATATATCATGTGTTGGTATGCTTTGTATGTACTGTACTAACAGTTGATCAGTACACCGGTACGAACCAGTAAGACGAACCATAGTGAGAAGTTCTTAAAAGTTAAAACCGTTCTAGAATCATAGTTGGAAGTTCTTCAACTAGTTAGAGTCAAAGCTCAATCTAATTAGAAGCAGTTAGGACTTTAAATAGTTGATTTTTTATAGCAAACAGCCAAAATGATACTTGGTATCAGGGACTAGGAGTTTTGGTGGATGATTATGGTCTATCATTAATTAAGATGCTTGAATATTTTTAGATTTTTCTTTATTATATCTTTGAATTGACTAAAGAATCTTAAATGTATCTTATTAAAAAGAAATATATTAATGTAGGTGCACCTCATGATTTTACCAAAATTTCAGTGTTATTCTTTTTTTACTTATACTGTACAATGTATGCTTCCAGAATTACCGATGTTCTGAAACTAGAGATAACTTATTCACCATACAATTCAAGATCATTCTATTGCATTTGCATACATGCAGAGAGTATTTGCTAAAAAGTGTGCAACCATATCATGTGGGGTGCTTTCTTCTTGGTGTTCATGTCTGTAACAATTTAAAAATACCTAAAATCATAATTATGGTAGGGACTCCAAAGAGAATGGGTTGTAAATCATACACTAGGAGGATACTTGTGTGAGGAATTCATACAGACTGATGGGCATATTTTAGAAAAAATGGACTTATTTGTTTATAACCTGTAAATATCATTGCTATATTTAATAGCCCTATTTCTTGTTAGATAATGCAGCACATTTTCTTGATTTATTTCTAACCACGCAAGTGACTCAAACTTTTCACTGAAACTATATGCATCATCCTTGGTTGAAATAATGCAGCGGATTAAAGTGCTATCTGATCTGTTAATATCAGTCTCAAAGGCAGAGAGGCAAGAAGCAAGGATGAAGATACGGCAAGAATCTCTTAGGCTTGGAAATATTGGTGTTGTGAGGTAGATTCCAAGATCTTGCATTTTAATCTATGATAATCAGCAAACGAAAATCAGTAGACAGTAGACATATATTGATAACAATTTTAAATGTTCTGGACTGTTAGCTAACCTTTTGTGATGTTATTGTTAGCAAATTGCCTGATTGATCTAGTATAAACCAGTCATTAACTTGAATTTAAGATAGCACATTCTGTCTGAAAGGCATTCTATTTCTTTGAACTTATTAACTTTCCATAAATATGGGATACTATTAGAGGAAAGTAATTATAGGTTCACAATTTGTTAGCCATGCTTGCTCCTCATTAATGGGGAACAAGGTGCTGATCACCAATTCTTCTAATGGACGAGGAAGCTATGCATGCTTGATGCAATAATATAAAGATTGCCAAAGCCAGTTACTTTTTTGTTGTCACTCGACTTCTAGGTTGTTCCTTGCTATATCAACTGTATTCTAGAATATGAAGTTCTATAAACTCCACTATCAATGAGCATATAACATAATTGCCTTATATGGACTTTTCACAAATGTGTGTAAAAATTCATTTTTCAATTTGATTCCTGTGGAATAAGCTTTTGGTTTTTTTCCTTTAAGTTAATGTATAAAATTAGTTCTTCGAGAAAACCAACCTTCATCCCCATTCATTTGTAGTAAAAGGATAACATACTGTTAGTATATGTTTTTATAGATTCTTCTAGGTACAATTTGATATATTATTCTGTAATCTGTGTAGATTATAAAAAAGCAGAGTTGACTTTAGAAGGGAAAATTTTAGCTCATTGATGTCTTAAATTGGACAAGTCTTGATGGTCGTTGTTAAGATATGAAACACTCAATCTCCATAGTAATGCTTCTCAGAATGTCTTGTTGGTGTAAGCACATAAATCCAGTCCCTATGCTCATGGATAAGAGCATGCTTGTATTTAATACTTGAAATTTGCAAATACCCTTTTTTGTTTCTGATGTTTTTTCTGCTGATTGTAGAGCTGGAACCATTATTTCTGAGGGTTGGGAGGATGGTCAGGCACTGAAGGATCTTAATGCTCATCTTGTAAGTTCTTGTGAGCTCATATTTTTGCATGTCAAAGTATACATGGAATATTGCGTGTATTTGCATCCTACCACAATGTTGTGTCAACTTATGCATAAATCTTCATGTTAGTATGCCTGTGCTAGAACAATTCAACTATATTGTTTAGTAGGAAATATATAGATGGAGTTCTGGAGCAGAGATCATGACTCTGCACATGAGGCCTGCTAATGATGTTAAAAAAAGACCCAATGAACATTAATGGGGTTATATTTATTATTTTATATTACATTTTTTTTTAATTAACACAGCTGTTTGTCATTGTGAGGCATTGTTATATTGAGAATTAGTTTTTCTGTTAATCATTTTTCAAGCAATTCTTATCTATGTGTTTATTAGGCATTTTTATATTGAAAATGCTTTTTTTTCTGCTATTTATTTTCAAGCATTGCTTGTTTATGTTCTATAAAATACATGGTTTTATTTGTCTAGGTGATGCAATGTCTAAAAAGTTTTCTGCATAATGATGCTTTATGGTTTGCTGGTTAGTATAAGTTACATATGCATATATAAGAGGCATATAGTTACCTTAAAGTTATCTGGTTTAATTACTAGTTTATTGCATGTGAAAATGTCTTTAAAGGTGTGTACACTTGGATATATTGTTATGTATGTTAATCAATTAACAAATATAGGAACCACACTTTCAGTATCTTTAGCGGAGGTGATGTGCATAACTATTTGCGATGGAAGTCTCTGCATAGATTTGTGTCATTCAGCCACAAAAGTATTCTGATATCAATTTTTATTTTGAGTTTTATTGCCTTCTTCATCATCTTCACTATTTTGCAGAGGTCTTTGTTGGAGATGAAAGAATCTATTGAGAGGCACCGGAAATCACTTAAAAAACGACAGTCTGGTAAAATTCTATAATGTGTTGTCTCACTATAATGGTTTTCATAGCCTCTTATCTTGTACTGAACAGATTACACCTGTGTTTGATAAATGTGAATTCTAAGTCCTAACACTCGTTGCTTTTCAAGATTTTTTGAGGTGGCTTTTCATAGGACTTTCTAGATCTCAAAATCAGATTTTAATGGCCTAATAATTTTCCTATGCTAAACTACCTAAGATAGGACTCTTCCATGCTGATGTTACTTGGAATAAGCTTCCTGAAGTTCCCTAAAACCAGTAAAAATTAACAAGTCATAACAAATGTACTCAGGAATTCACTGAAAATTATAAGCAAGCCAAACAAAGAATTGACATGAATCAAATTTCATACCTAAATAAGCCTAATCTATGTCTCTTTTGAATCTATTTTGCGAAGTGTATCCTAAGAATTGAGGCATCCAGGTAGTGTTTGAACTTTCCAGAAATTTTCATGTTAATTTGTTTAGAGTATGATGTGATTCTCATTTAATTGCTTATATCATGCTTCTTCTTCCATGAAGATAAGGGTGATGGCAGTGACATGGAAACTGGCATATCAGATGAAGATTTTCATGTACATGATGAGATTTTTAAATCTCGCCTTGCAAGCATCAAGCGTGTGAGCTCCTGCCCTATATGTGATTATGATATGCAAGCCACTCTTCATGCGGTTGTCCTAAGCCTGAGGTTTCTCTTAGTCATGGTATCCCTGATAATCTTTTATTTCTCCTCTTATATTATCCAAGGAAGAAGAAACATATCTGAAAGAGAAGGATCGTTATGAGCTGGAAAAGGGAAGGCTCATACGGGAAATGAAGCGGATACGGGATGAAGATGGTTCGCGCTTCAACAATTTTCCGATTCTTAACCAAAGATATGCTCTCCTCAACCTTCTTGGGAAAGGAGGGTTTAGTGAGGTCTACAAGGTACATTTTGATACCTTTTTTACCAAACTGTAGTTCCATAGCACATAGTAAATTTACCATGATGTAAGATACTTATCATAAAGGTGGTTATGAGGCCCACCACATCAGAAGAGACAACCTTTTGGTTTACTTCTGTTGGCATTCGTGAGTATAAACTCTTTTGCAGTGATTTGAAGTGCAAACTTTGAAGCAGGCATTTGATCTGGTGGAGAATAGATATGTTGCATGCAAGCTTCATAGTTTGAATGGTCAGTGGAGCGAAGAAAAGAAGCAAAGTTACATACGCCATGCAATTCGTGAATACAACATACACAAGACTTTGGTGCATCCCCATATTGTGAGGTTATGGGATATCTTTGAGATTGACCACAACACTTTCTGCACTGTCTTAGAATTTTGCAGCGGTAAATAATTTTCCTTTAATATCATTTATTTATTCACTCTTTTTAGATACAATACAAGAATTATGCTTCATTCTTATTTCTTGTGTTTCTAGCATGATATCATGTTGGATTGGTATTTACTGGTCCGATCAAGGAACGCTGCCGGATTATATAGCTCAGTACCGATTGGTATTTATTTGTAAAAAATATTTTTCTATGATATCAGGCGGTAGTATACAGGTATATTATTAGTCCAACAAGTCACTGAAATGGGTTTTGGACTGATATTCATTATATGGAAAAATGTCTGTTGACCCAATGCCTACCATGTGCATCTTAAGATACATGATGTCAACTGTAGACCTTAATATTACTTGCACCCAAGTCATTTGATACTGTCGCATCCCATCATTGGCCATGATATGTATCTGATGTTGTTGGCTGGCATGTTTGGCTTTTGTGTATCTAATTATGATCTCATTCTATTTTATTGTCAAAGAGAACTCTTAGCTATCTATATACTTGAAGTTACCCTGAAGCAAAAATTTCTCTTAATCTCGAAATGTATAAATTCCATACATGATCATGCCATGTTGAATGTGTATTATGATCTTTAACTGCTGTTTAGAGTTGATAGTGCTTTTACAATCATGCATATGTGAAATGGTCACTGATGACTGATGTGTCAAAATTTAAGTGGCACAACAGAAATTTTAGCCATCTAGCCAGTTGACAATATTATTCTTATGCTGCCATTTTTTCTGCTTTCTTATGTTTTCTTCAGGCAAAGATCTTGATGCTGTCCTTAAGGCAACACCAATTCTTCCTGAGAGGGAAGCTAGAATCATAATTGTTCAGATATTTCATGGGCTGATCTACTTGAACAAAAGGCCTCAAAGAATCATTCATTATGACTTGAAGCCTGGTAATGTTCTCTTTGATGAGGTTGGTGTAGCAAAAGTGACTGATTTTGGCCTAAGCAAAATAGTGGAGGACGATGTTGGTTCTCAGGGTATGGAGCTTACCTCCCAAGGAGCTGGAACATATTGGTGAGTGGCATTCTTTTTATTAAATTCTATACGTAATTCATTTTTCTATCTTAATTCTTGGTCTGCATCCATATATTTGTCTAATCAAGTTGAGGTTACAACGTTCTTCACTTTCTTGAGATGTGTTCTTACATTCTGTTGCATTAAGATGCATCTTTTGTTGGACTCCTTGTCTTAGTTTTCCTGTTAACGTCAAGCTCTTTGGTGAATTTTTTTTATTAATGTCTACTTCTCAATTCTGCTTAAATTCTTTTTTATTTCTGTGCCCATTATTTTTTCTGGAAGTTATTGCTAATGATTTTGAAGTCATCAGTAATTTTTCGTGTTTTAGCATAGGATTTAGATGGCTGTTGATATTGGCACTTGAGCTACCTAGAAAAAGGGTAGTATTGCCCGCAGTACAAGGATGAACACTGAAAAATATGGAAATATAATTTTAAAAGCATATTGTCTTTTCTCCATCTCTATGAAATCAGGTAGAAAAAAATCCTGATGATTGTGATCAATTAAATACAGTTAAAACTTGCTGGTTAAATTATTTGGCATGCTAGGGTTTTGTAATTCTACAAGTATGCAGGAACCTGGTGAAAGATCTGGCCTAATTTACAACTGTTCCTGGTTAAATGAGGCTAAAAATAGGCTGCAGCATTATATTTCTGCCGTTTTTGATTTCATATATTAAAATCCAGCAACCTAGGAATATGTTCCAAAGCATTAAAGTTGATTACTGAGAAATACACATGATACTTCTGAAAAGATAATGTTTTTGCAGTTTTGCAGTTGAAAAGGTAACAAGAGAGCATTAGATAGGCATAAAGATCATATGAAGGTAGATAGAATAAAAATGAGAATAAGGGAGGAAAAATGAAGAAACAAGTTCCTAACTTTCACAAATCCATTTTTCCCACCTAAGATTGAAACCTGAATGATGAGGAATTATAGAATCCTAATGTGACTCCAAATCCAATTATTATTGGATTTGAGGTTGGGTAGCAGATTCAAAATCAAACAAAAGCTTTATGCACGGTGATAACATAGGACCTCTTTTGTAGTTAAATTCAACTTCGAAGTTATTCAGACACATCATTACTTGATAGGGTTGAGACTTTGAAATATTTAAAATACAAGGGAAACATAACTGAATCTAGAAACTTTATCATCTTCATTCACTATTTATTTTTGTTTTATGACAAATAGAACGCCTTTTCTTTTCCAAAAGACAAAACAAAATATATTGCTTCAGAAGTCTGATACACCCAGAGCCCTGTTCATCAGAGGGTAGCACATCAAGAAACTCAGGAGGAAAACCTGATTTTCACAAACAAATAACTTTACAACTATTGGCCTTTGAGGCTAACCAATGGGCACATTGGTTGGCTTCTCTAAATACATGAGTTACCACAATTTTCTCAAAGGATTCCATGGGCAACAAAATATTACTAACAAGGTTAGTCAAAAACCATGGAGGCTGATCTGTGCCTATTCCATGTTAGTAATAGTGAAATGGAATATTTTGTTGGCCATCTTAGTCAAAAACCATGGATGCTGATAAATTTTAGATAATTTAATGATGTCTCCTTGTTTATCTTCTTCTGTCACATTGTAGCATTAACATAATGAGAAAACCACGGTTTCATTTTTTTTTTTTTGGCAGTTCATTTGTCCTCCCTCACCCTTATCTTCCTCTTTTTCTAGCCCTACGTCAGCTTTTTGTGTAGAGTCTTTGACTTGCTGCTGTAACTTTTCTCATTATCAATGGCTCCATCTATCCCTAAAAAGTGAAACCTAACCTAAGCATGTCAAAGGATATAATATCTCTGTAACCGTTTGATAGTGACTTTTTTTTGGCATTGAAATGTTGTCTATAACCTAGCATGCGATTTACTCAAGTACATCATGGCATGTTTGCAGGTACTTGCCTCCAGAATGCTTTGAACTCAGCAAGACACCACTAATATCATCAAAGGTCAGTCAATGCGAGGATAATATATAGGCTATCCATAGAGTGATCTACAAGTACATATGCTGGTACATTTGTGGTCATATAATATAAAATCTTACATGGTATGAACCAAGAGATATTCTTGTAGGAATATCTCTAGGGTTCTTATTCATTACAATAAAGCTAAAGATGCAGTTTTATCTATTTAAGTAGTTTTTAGTTAGTATGAGCTTTTAAATTGCGATGATACTTAAGCACTTGATAATTAATCAGATCACAAGTCCTTGTTTTCTTACATTATGGTCCAGGCAATCTTGCTGCAATCAGTATGGATTGGATTTGATTAAACGATATAGTTTTTCTTAATTACATGTAATGATTATAGATGAAACTAATTGTGACAAATTAGCAGACTGCATGGAAATGTAAATATTTTATTTATTATAAAGGCAATCCCACAACTAAATTTATAGTAGCATGCCAGATATCTTTTGTAATTTATATAGCTTATCTTAGATGCTTGACAAGAACCATTGTTGCCCTTATCACACAGGTGGATGTTTGGTCAGCTGGTGTAATTTTATACCAAATGCTTTTTGGTAGACGCCCCTTTGGACATGACCAAACCCAGGAGAGAATTCTTCGTGAAGACACCATCATCAATGCACGGAAAGTTGAATTTCCTTCGAAGCCATCTGTTTCAATTGAAGCAAAGGTAAGATTTTGTTTCCTTGATAAGCATATTGCCTTGTGCAGTTTTTTCTCTGTCGAAGAAAAATAACTGGAATTTTAGTTTGACCTATAAAATTAGCTGTATACTTCCTATCGTTGCTTTCTAGCCGATCTGTATGACTTCTTTTACACCCATCTATCCCCATATTTCGATGATATGCAGGGTAGTGTTATTCACATTATTATCCACATGTAATCCATAAGCAAGAAATATGGATATCCTTGACTTTAATTCTCTTATTACCCTTGAATTAGTCCAAAAGCTGAATATTTTCTTTTTAATTCTATTTTATTGCAAGAATCATTGCCTTCTACGTGTTGACTCCCATAGTTGAGGCAACTCAGCTCAATTTTCCTCTTTGATCTATCTCTTCATTTTGGTGGCTTGAACATTTCTGATGTTAAAAGAAAGTTTCCAATCCAGTTATGCTGGCTGATCCTTCATCCTTTTGTTACATCTATCTCTTTGATAGTTTCCTCTTTGATCTATCTCTTTGTTACATCTTGCAATATAATATCCTCTCCTCGACATCTCCAGCTTTAATTCGGTTGACCTTGCTTCTATTCCATTACAATATAAATGTTTACCTCCTGATGTACGTTCTCAAATCTGAATCAGCATGCGATGAAAATGAGAACTTGTTTGGCAGAAACATCTGTCATATGCTTAAGAAAACAATGTCAATGTTCTTATTAAACGGATTCATGCTAATTATTTCACCCAGTGCTATTACAGTGCATTGCCCATCCCACATGAAAGTTTCACATGCCCTTCATCATAAAAATGAGGGAAAAATCAGCCAATTAACTTGTGTGTTTTGGTCACATCGTCAGGAATTGATTCGTCGGTGCCTGACATATAATCAAGCGGAAAGGCCTGATGTTCTAACCATTGCTCAGGACCCTTACCTGTCATATTCAAAGAGATAGAAAGATGTACATCTTGCCAAGAGGAATACCTTCAAAGGCAGCACTTGAAGGAAGAATTCGGAGAAGTGAGTTTGTAAATGTTGTTGTAAAGCCGTGTTTCTTTTTAGCTTCTCACTGGTTTAGTCTCCTTTTTATCCATAAAAGAAAAAGCCTTTCTTTTTTATCTGTAAGGAATACCATTGTCTAAAGTAACTAAAATGAGGCGCCTAAAAAGCATGCATTTCTTTTTAATTGAGCCCATCAATTTATTTCCTTACTATTTTCTTTACATGAATCCATTGTTTTATGCGTGTGTGTGTGTGTGTGTGTCTATATATATATATATATATACACAC